TGGAGTGTAAGGGATATTTGATTTCTAGCTAGTTCTAATAAAATAAGTAATAATTGTCTTAACAAGGTTGTGCATTATAAAATTTTATTAGAATAACATTTAAAAGATGATTGTTTGATTTACAGACTACATTATCTATGAGTAATTATGAATGAATTTAAAATTATAATTATTTGACTAATTTATTTACAATATCAAATTAATATGAGATGATATGAAATATTCATCACGAGTTATGGATTAAATCACACACAATACATTTCATACATACCATTATCATGAAATACATCTAAATTTAACACACAATTTTATCATTTAATTATAATTATAATAAATTGATATAACTTAATATATATTGTTAGTGCATGTAAATTTTTACTTATTTTCACCTTAAATATTTTATTGGATCAGTTTGATTACATGGTTTAGTAGTTTGGCTCGTTAGTTCATTCACCTCATTTAGTCTATTTGGATTAAACTTATTTTTGGTATTTATAAGCTTAAATAGTTTTTAGGCATTTTTATAATTTTTGGGTAAGATTTTTAAAAAATACTTCTAAACACTTGTTTTAAAATTAAATAATAAATAAATCATAAATTTGAATCTTAATTTATGATTTTTTCTTATAAATTCTAAGTTCATAGTGTATTTTCTCATCCATCCATTTCCACCTCCATTTTACCCCATCTGATGTGATAACGATTAAACTAAAGACTTTGATTATAATAGAGACAATTATGTTCATAATAAACACGGCAATATAGACAATTATTAAGCATATATGATGATTCCCAATAAAAAATTTAAAAATATTGATCATGGCATAAATTATGTCTAGATATCCAAAAAATATTTTGTTTCCCAAACAATCTGATATGAGTTAACTGCCATTATGATATAATATAGTATTATTTTTTTAACAAAAAAATCTCATTGGGCATAAAAGGGAAAAATAATAAACAAAAGAAATCACCATTATTGCACCGCCCTGCCCTGGAAAAATATATTTCTGGCCCATACCATTTCTTCTTTTGTTTATAATTATAAATTACTCCTTTATCACTGGATAAAATTCGTCATTTTCGTTGGTGAAATTAGGTAAATAGAACATTTTATGAAATTAGCCGTCTCATATTTTGAAGTAATTATTTTCATAATTTTAATATAAAAATAAGATAAAATAACTTTAAAGTTATTATTACCTATAATCAGAATTCAGAAGCAAATAAATCCATAAATAATTATAATTTAGAGCATAATTTGCGAATCATAGCTACAATTGCATATTTATTAAGCTATAGTTTCTATGTATAAGACAGATATCGATTATATCAATGAAAAAATTGTATTCATAAGTATCAACTAAAAATATAACTACATTTTTGTAATTTTTAAAAATTATAATTACATATCTTAAATATAATCTAAATATTTCCTTATCGCATAATTTTTTTATAAAATAATTATTATTCGTATACAAAGATAATTTGCTTTCATGAATGAATATGGACGTATTTCGTGGTAAAATAAACAATGAAATCTTGACAAAAAGATTAGCACAGCCGTGAGGCTGCTAACTGTTCCATATATAATACTCAACTCAATCAATAATGGCGAAAACAGACAAGAGAAAGAAAAGATGCCGGAAAATTTGTTGACCCAAGTCGGAATACCTCAACAGAAGCTTTACAATGGAGTTCCTTTCCCAGCTGTGTTAACTCCCAACTCTAATCAACCTAAATCCCAACTTCCTCAGACAATCAAAGAACAAAAAACATGGATTGGGTCTCTTCTCCATCAATCTGGGGCTATTCTTTTTAGGGGATTTCCGGTGAACTCAGCATCAGACTTTAACGACGTCGTTGAAGCTTTCGGCTATGAGGAACTGCCGTACGTCGGCGGTGCTGCTCCTCGTACTAGTGTTGTTGGTCGTGTCTTCACTGCTAATGAATCCCCACCTGATCAGAAAATTCCATTTCATCATGAAATGGCTCAGGTATAATATCATCTATTAAGTTGCTTCATATAAGAAAAACTAGTTTAACTCTCGAAATTCAATTACTGACATATAATATAAATTGGGATGGAGGGAGTATAAATCACTAATGTATAAGTAAGTAGAAACTCTGCAGAGCGGAATGGATAAAAAAAAATCGTCCCTTTGAGGTGTATTGATAGAATTATTGGTGTAAAATTTCTTGATCGGTGTATATATATTATAACTTAAACTCTTTGTACCAGCAAAATAATGCCCCTTTTCTATCTGTTATAAGATTCAAGACTTTCAGTTAATTGCATTGGATATTAGTTTTAGCATTATTATTTTCATGGAGTAGGTTCCCGAGTATCCATCAAAATTGTTTTTCTTTTGTGATGTGGAACCTGGAAGTGGGGGAGAGACTCCAATAGTCCTAAGTCATGTTGTATATGAGAAGATGAAGAATAAGTATCCTGAGTTTGTTGAGCGATTGGAAGAGCATGGCTTAATCTATATAAGGGTATTAGGAGAAGATGATGATCCTTCTTCCCCGATTGGTCGAGGCTGGAAGTCTACATTTTTAACCAAAGACAAGAGTGTGGCTGAAGAAAGGTTTGTAGTTTTCTCCTTCGTTTTCTTTTTAACTTGTTCTGTAGTTGCTAGGAAATGCATCTTTTTTCACTATTTAGCAGCTAGATCAATTTCTCACTTTCCTAGACTTCGATTCTACTGTTACCTGTTGTTTCCTTTTATTTGGTTTACATATTGATTGTTGTTGCTACTGATATTCTTTACTGTATTTCTTTCCTACTTGTTTGATCTACTTTACTCGAGCTGAGGGTCTAATCGGAAACAACCTCTCTACCCCTTATAAGATAGGTTAAGGCTGCGTACACTCCACCCTCCCCAAATCCAACTGGGTACGTTGTTGTAGCAGCAGCTAGATGAGTTAACGGATACCTCTCTTGCACTATCTATATTCTTTATTGACTTGAAATACTGCAGTAATGATGCACAAGTTTAACTCTTTCATATTTGGGGGCAGGGAGACAGAAAATATCAGAGAAGTGGTAAAGATGGGTTCTTTTGAACCTCTTCCTTATACTTCCCTAACTGCTATAATTAATGAGTTAAGTTAACAACAGATATTGGTAAAGATGGTGCGGGGAATATGAAATGCACCACACCAAATAGGGTAAGGAATGAAGTAGGAATTGATGATTGTTGTAGTACAATTGCTTTTTGCTGCTGAAACAGACATCGACGTTGAATTGTTTATTTTTGGAGCTGGTGCTTGATGTTATTTCCATCACCTGACTTGCAGATTTCATGACCTTAGGGCTTTGGTTGTTCAAATGGTGCAATGCTTAAAGCAGTCATACTGTACCTTGCATATGAGGATATCTGATTCTAGTGTTTTGGAAAAGAGGAAGCTTCAAGATTTGTTAGGCATTGCATCATTTGAACAACATAAGGTCATGAAACATAAGACTCTGGTAACTGCAGTGGTAGAAAAATGTAGACAAGGCAGACGGTGTACTATTTCTGTGACAGACAAGAACGTTGTGTACTTGCTTGCACTATAAGAGACTGATTTGTTCATGAGTTTGCTTTGGGACAATAAAACTGGAAGATTATCCTGCATTATACTCCCCCCCCCCCCCCCCCCACCATACCCCC